ATTCATTTGGCTGGCTACATAAGTTTCACATGGCTGTATCGCATCTTTTCCACAGTCTATCAAGACATCAACTATTTTTTGACTTCTGGTTCTTTTTTGGTCACTCTAATTAGACATTAATTTCACCCAATTTATATAGTATCAGTGCTAAAATCTGCCATCATTACCCTAGAGTTAAAGAAAACTACTCTAAAACCTTCTGAGAGTAAATACCATAAGAGTTCATGTTTTATTTTCAGGCTTTTAATGTAAAATTCTCCTTTCATGTCTCTTTCAAGTCTGCTTGAATGAGCTGTGTATTACCAGTTGCTTTCCCATCTGTCTCAATTTAGTATCTTTGACAAATTCCAATCTGGCCTGAGGAAAAATCAGAGTACTGAAACCACTCCACACTAGATTATTAGGTATATTTTATTAACAGTGTCTCTTTACTTAAACAAGAAATTTTGACACTCCTTAACTCTCCTGCCAGCAATGATTTTGCAGAGCCCTTCGACTTAGACTCACACATTCTGAATGGCCTCACACCCTTCTCTTTCCATGTACTCCCACCTTCTGACCTTTCACTAGGTACAAAAGTGAGGGTTTTCCTCTTTAACCTTGAACCTTTCATAATCTCGCTGGACATAACCTACATGGTCTGTACAGCATATAAACTCCACATGATTCTTTTCACTTTCAAGCTGCCTGACCCATACCCACCCTGAGAATTTCATGGATATTATAGACACATTGATTTTTTCCCTTAGCCTGTCCCAACAGACTTTAGCCTAAATATATGTGTTAATTATCCTAACTTAAAAACCTCACAAAATCAAATCCAGAGAGGAAAAAACTCTCACAAATGTAGCTTGCATTGTGCCACTACTCTTTTGTCAGCATACTGAAGATTTTATGCCTGTGATTTAATCTTTTATATTTTTCAAATTCCTATATGGAATGTGTTAGAAAAATGGTGAGCTCAGTCATACTCTGGGTTTCACAGATCACTTGTTGGATTGGGTTTTCCTTTCTTTGTTCTCATGGTTTATTTTGCCCAAGCTTTTGTATTCCCTCCCCTGTCCCCCATCCCTCCCCAATCCTTTTTGCAGGAAATTTAATTACAGGACTGCCTATTCCCACGTAAATAGAAGGCTGCACTATGCAAACAATAAAGATCTCTGTTTAAAAGTAATTGTTGGCTACATTTGACAACCCTTAAGGGAATAGGAGAGAAAACGCAGGCTGCTGTCCAGAATTTTACTAGGAATTAGTTTGAGGATAAGACTTTTGAGCAATCTTGCGAATCCCAAATCTACCATCTGCACATCCATTCCAAGTTAGTGGTGGAAAAAATTCGCCTGTTTCTACATATCAGTTAATTCATCAGAAGTACGATCCTAACAGGTCCCGAACATGCAGAAACCCTGCTGTGCTAGTTGCTCTTAGCACCAACTGCCTGAATACCCCTGCAGCGCCTGCTGCCAGTATTACCGTTAGGCAAGAATATGTACTGTACTTTTCTTAAACTGGGCTTGTCATCCTGTCTGGGAACTGTTCTCTTCCACAAACACCCCAAATGTCACTTGTTTAAAACAAAACAAACAAACAAACCAACAAACAAAAAACATCAAAACCCCAAATGCATATGATAAGCATATCAGTTTCTATCTGCATGCAGAGAAGTAATGCATTAAGGATGTGTTAGCTCTAACGTGTCACATATATATTTTTAAAGGGTGAAAATGACCCTTTTTTGGCTGAATTGGCCTTCGCTCTTCGCACACAGCCAGTGGACTGCTTCATGCCATTACTGGGAAACAGAATGCCAGCTGAACCCACCCCTGTGGCAGGGTGTCTCAGCATCACTTGGTATTATGGGTGTAGAGACATGATCACCATCTCAGTAATAACCCGAGAGTTGCGGAATTTAAATCATTCTCAAAATTGCTATATATGAATTATTTAGAAAGTTAAGGACAAATTATTATTTTATTTCAACTACTAACCAATAAATGTAAAAAAAATACCAACAACAAAACAAAAATAAACCCCATCATCCCCCACATTAAAGCAATAGTTTTTGTAACATTCAAAACAGTGGAAACTATTTACCGTATATTACTATTAGTGGAGAAAAGCAAATTTAATTTAAAATCATTTTTTTTCAAACTCCCTCAGTGGATGCCAGATAACTCCAGCTTAAACAAATAGAAAAAAACTCATTTTAAATGGAGAATAATACAGACAGAGCTCAATTATTGAGATATTAAGGGCAACATTCAATTTGAGATACATTTAAGCATCTTTGCCTCCTGGAGATTTTTACATGACAAGGCTTGAGATAAACACGGTTTTGCAAACAGCAACTATCATATCTGATCACATAACCTCTGGACTGAAGCAGTATGTCAGCAAATATTTCTGATTATTTAAAATATTAAATAACTGTAATTTACTAGGCAGGTCTTCCTCAGAACAATCACAAATCTTTTCAAGAATTGATACTCATATACAAAAAGCATTTAGATGATCTGTTACAAATCTCCAAATTAAAAAAAAAAATCACCTCTCTGTAATAAAGCCCAGTTTAAATACATTCTGAGGCATACTAGTAGTGGAGGAGCTGCCTTTCTATGACACTCAGCTTGTGGGGGAAACAGTAGCAGCCAAGGAAATACAGGGTAGGAATCACCTCACCTAAGTTTAACTATCTAGACATTAGACGCCTAATTTAAGCTAATCATCTGGGTTCCCTCTACAGGTAATGGAGATAAGCATTCCCAGAGGGAGAGTCATCCTGCTTGTCTTAGGCATCTCTCTTTTAGATGCTTTTAGATGGATAAAGTCAAGAAAGATCAGCCTTGCTGACAGCCTGATAATGTCTTCTTTAGCAATGCGCAATTTCCAAAATCAATGAAATTAAGCTAGAACTGAGATAATTTCTTTGTTTCATCATTTAGCTTTTAATTCTCCCTCCGACCCAACTTTTTCTTCAGTTCCTCCCATGAACATCAATTTTCTCTGCCATTTTATTCTTCTTATACTGGACTATGTTTTCCTGGAACCTGGGGAACTGCAACCAATGTCAATATGTTGCTGCTCTACCAGTTACAAATCCATTTACATGCATGTGCTCTAAATTGCAGTAATATTCTGAAGAGATAGATACGATAGGAGTATTGACAGCGATTGTGCTTTCTGGGTCTACTCTACCACTTTCAAATGTGTAAAAATCTGTGGCAACATTAAGGCAGTCAAGGTATATAAATGAATGCTAAAATATATTTACTATTCAAAGAAGATGGCTTAAATCAAACAAGGAAAAATAAGGAAGAAGTACCATCAGGGCCCTCACTTTTACATGTGTGAGCCCAGGTCACCACACATGCTTCGAGGCCTCCGTGCTTCAGAATATTGAACAAATCCTAAAGGTGAAGCCTGGCCTCAACTCTCTCGCATTTAGGGTTTGTGGGGTCTCAGCACTACCAGCATTGCTGCATCGCACCTTTAATCACCGAGCCCTTAGAAACAATAGCCGAGATTTATAAGGAAGCAGGCGTCTGAACGTAGACTCCTAAATTCGTAGCTGGGTGCCTAAAGCAGCAGCAAAACTGACAAGCACCCTGTGCAGTTGCCCACAGATGCTACCCCAGTAGTGAGGCACTTAGCATTTATTATAACACAAAATGGATGTTTATTCATTAAGAGTGTTCCAATGGCTACTCGAAGTGCCTTGGCCAAGTGCTTGCGTGCACTAATTTCAATATTGGGCATGCAGTCTACTCTGCGTCTTATGTCTACAGCATTTCTAGAAAATTAATTTTAATAGTTAAAAAACCATCTTGAGCTGCATACATGAAAATAACTCCATTTCTACTGAATGACAGTCTAATACGAAATAAGAATATTCACCTTTTTTTCTTACTCTGCCCAAATCCAGGCAATAAATTAGGCTTCTCAGCATGACTGTAAAGTGCTGTGAATTGTATAAACAATCATATATGGACACTGAAAAATAACCCTTATGCACATTGCATTATAGTTCCAAAAATATATTTACAGTCTATTACAAAGATTACAAATGGAAGTGTCTATGTAACGGGATTATGCTAGTTAAAAGCTTTTTACAGATCTTCTTCAACAAAGGCAGGGGGGACAAAAAATTAGTATAACCAAACTGATTTTTCTAATGAAACAAATAAATAAAATGACAAATATAACACTGTACAGTGATCTAAAAAGGGGGAGAAAAGGAGGGGAAAATGATGCATTTAAGTTTTTGATAACTATCTTTGGTCCTAAATGTGGGAAAACACATTATGTAGCACTGAATATACATGTTTGTTTGTGATGCTCTGCAAGTAAAATAGAAAAATATAGTGCATTTTCAATGTATTCAGAGCTCACTACACATAAATGTGTGTACAAAACAAGACAGTATAAATAAAATTTACAAGTTTTACAAAGGAAGATTTACAGGGTTTTTCTTTTGTTTTTATTTTTTTTGTGTGGATGCCCACATTATCAAACAAGACCAATTTATGACTGATCCCTGGGATCTTTCTCTATCAAAATCAATAGAAGCAGCCCAATTCTCTTTGGAAGTACAGCATTTCATCGCTGGGGTAGTTCACAATTTTCAGATTTTTTTTTAAAGCATTTCTCTCTGGTTCATATACATTCCTGCAATATCTGTAAAGACACCATTCATTATTGCTTATGGTAGTTAAATATTTTAATCAAACAAAATTCATATATAAGTAAAAGGTGTAAGAAGATATTCCATTGAGCAACTACGCTTGCATCTGTGTTCCTGATGAATGACTGTTGTGTCTGTGTGAGCACGCACCCACATGTTTGTTCAGAGCAGCAAAAGCTTGTAAAACTTGAAAATTTTGAACTGCCCCTTGCCTCATGCTCTACAGTTCTCTTATAAAATCTATGTCTTTATTCTGACAGCTGGACTGCATACAACTTAAACTCATATAAAAGATACGCCAGCTATTTCTCTCAGATTTGCTAATGCAGAGTATTGAAAAAAATGTGATGTGCTCAGATTAAATGGTTTAGGTAACACTGGAGAACTGCACCCATGTCCTGAGACACTCCTACAATCACTTGTCCATTCAATGCAGTGTCTCAGCAGGTTTACAGTTGTAGATCTACATCTCAGAATATATCCCACTTTAACTCTAGTCCATTAAAATCATCTTGCAAACAATTTGCTAAAAGTGCCTAGAACTACTTAGGGGTCATTATTGCTTTTCTTTTTTCTTTTCTTTTTTTTTTTTTCTCTTTTATTTTCTTTTAAAAGATAGTATATGTGTAACCTTAAAAAATTCTTTAAAAAATATCGGAGCTCTTGGCAACTTGCATTTTCCTGACTCCCTGCCAATTAGCTAGCCATGTCAATACGGTGCTGATTTAACAAAAGTAAATGGCACAAAAGGATACCAAAGTTCGGACAGATATACATTGCTTGGTCATGCTTCTTAAATCTCTAGGAACTCAAATAATCCTTCAGAGGTACCCAGTGTAGTAATGTGTCATAGAATTAGCACTAAAAAGGTCCAAAGATATAAACATCATACTAAAAGAAAGTCTTTATGAAGAATAAACACAAATGATTAAAAAAAGATTCAGAAATCACAGATTTAAGGAAAATATTTTGTTGAATTCAACAATAATATCATGATTTTATCTGACAAATATATTCTTTTTTAAATTTTTATGTACATTTAAAAAGTCTATTAGATAAAAAGGAGGTTAGAGAGCTCAAGGTGTTTGTATGTTTATTCAGGTAGTACTTTGTTTATTGTCACTGCTGTTTTCCTTGCCACCACTGGTGGATCCTAATTCCCTTTTCATAAATTCTGGTGGCACTTAGGAGTTCAAGTCTGTAGGTGCTTCTTGTAGCTCTTCTATTCACTGCAGGAAGGACCCAGGAAATCAAGTGTCTTCTAGCAGCACTTCATATATACTGAAGGCCAGTGCTGTTCTCTCAGTCTGTCACCTCCCTCATAAGGGAGAAATGTCTATCACACTTGGATGCCAGTGCCGTGTAAATGTAGCATTTGTGCTCTCATAGTCTGAATGCTGCTCATGATTTTCTTTTGATGACCAACCAACGTGATCCCTAAACTCATCACATCCCTGGGGAAGATAAATGCGTACATTGTTAATTTTTCAACTTAGACTGCTATTGTATGGTATTCAACTGTGAGTCAAGGCTACGTAGCGGTCTGGGCTACAGGTTTCTAACACTGAAGCTACACTGGAACCTCAGCTCAGTACTGTGAAGTTCATATAGGTGCTGTTCAACTTCTCAGTGAGGAGTGCAATTACATGGCAAGTGTCATGTAATTGCACTGCATGTGTCTCCACATCTGAGAATGAGGCCAGTATGTTTTGCACTACGATAATCTTTTATTGTGGCTTTTAAGAATATCCCCCAAAAGAGACAATTCTCTTGTAAAATACTTTGGGTGGCTTTCAGGACAAATTTATGTATAAATACAAGATTTTGGGGATCACATTCTGCTTCCTAAAGAGATGCCTAGAGAAACCCTTTGCATGTTGACCCATTCCCATCATCCAAATGAAAGAGAAGCAGCTGTTTCAATTCCACTACTAGTGCTACTGACCTAGTAGAAGCTTGTGGGGTCTGTTGACAGATCCCAAGCTACAGGCTGAGGCTCGTAGTGACACCAGGCAAATAAAATTAGGGTTGCAAATTTGACAGTATTGTTTAGAAAAACACTACTCTCTGTAAGAGGAATTACATGTGTTTGGCAACCATCAGGACGAGAACGTTGTTTGCAGGGTGCCAAGAAGACCTGTTTAAGATGGCAGTACCAACACAGGCCATGCTTGCCTTCAGAAAATTGTTTTGCTTCTATAGACTTTTATCCTGATGCAAACTCATTTCTTGCAGGACACAGACAGCCCTTAGCCAATTAGAAGAAAATTTCATATCTTCCTAGTGCACGCCTGGAAAAAGGTACCAATTCGGTAGTGCAGGCAAAGTGGTTGTTTTCCTATACATACATACTTTGAAATGGGACACATTCTCCCTCAAATTCTAGCCCCTTGATGTTATTTCAATTGGTTTCAAATGCAGGGAAAAACGTGATGCCACACATAGGTAGCAGGGTATTCGCCTTTTCATGGGATGCTGTAGTACAATGTCATCAGTTGCTAAACCTTCTGGCTTAACCCCAAGTACCATGTTTGTACTTAGAGTAAAGCTTTGGAATTTAACATTGTCTATTATTTTACCTAGAAATTCCCTAAATGTAAGTTAAACATGCCCAGTACTAACTTACTCAATAGTCATCCTGGCAACTGATTCAAGAGAGTTGTAGCCTGCTGCTGTGAAATTATCCTTATATCTTTCCATCTTAATAGCTTGTAACCATTCGCCTACGGAGCAGAAAGTGGTAAAATCGGGAGTGTTCTGGTCCAGAAGAGGGCTAATTGGTCTACGGAGAAGGAAAAAGGAAAGTAAGTTGTTTCCAAAGAGAGTAAAATATCAGGGAGTATTTAGCAAGGTGAGAGTCAAATAAGTTTGGGGTATTAAAAATGTCAAGAATTAAAAGTAATAGGCCTTTATATACAGTTTAAATTATCCAGTGAATAGCTCTTGACTGCTCTGTAGCTCACAATATGTATTTCCTAAGCTTATTCACATAAAAGATGAAAGGTCAGTGTGAGCAAAATCAGCGTAATGCACTATTGTTACCAACATAAAATCAACCTTATTACCTAGCATGACAGCATCTGCAACTGAAGTCACTAAGTAAAATAAAGATGCTATTCTTTTAAGCATCTTAGAAACTATAGTAGTAGCTATTCCCATTATTCAATCACATGGGACAAAACAAAGACAAGGAAGAGCAGAAACACAAAGTAAGTTGCTTAAGGTCACACAGCAAATCAGTCAGTAAAAGAACCAGGAGCAGAGGACAGGCCAGTTGACTCCCTAGTGAGTAATCTAGCTAGAGGATCAAAAGATTACCATGATTAAATAATTCACCTGAAATTTATGGAGAAGCCATTAGAAGCTACACCATGAAACACAATGGGATGCAATCATTGAAAAGAGTTAAAGCCAGAAAAATGAAAGATAAAAAAACTAGAGTGTAGCAATGTCAAAGCACATCGGCCAAGCATGAGTATTATTAATTACTATTTCTACCATAACAGTTCCTAGGGCAAGGGATGCATCATATAAAACTACAGTAGATGATGATCCCTGCCCTCCAGACTTCATAATTTTAAGAAATAAGGAAAACAAAGACTGCTAGTGA